TTATCCAGGAATTCACACAAGAAAGCAGATATAGGGTTTTTTTTTTTATCTATTTCCCTCAGATTTAACTTGTACGCTCTTGGAGAGGTCCTGCCTCCAGGTTGAGGACTGCTGTTTTAAGGTATCACAAGGCAAAAAGGTTGCTAACCACTGTTATGGAGGGTTATGTGAAGTACAGTTTGCCCTCACTGCTCCCTCACAGGTTATTGTCTGCAAATTCTGTTGTTGTTAATGGCAGCTATCATAATGTAGAACAGGTTCAGTCTAGATGTGAGTCTTGTGTACATCAACAGAATGTGTTTAAAATGTTGCAGCAAACAGTGTTTTTGGCTTCACCAGCATTTTGTAGAAAACTGTGTGAAACGTGTTCCTCTATGAATATAAACAAGACAAATTCCTGCACTTGTGTGATCCAAACAGTTCTGATGTTGTACAAGCAGAGCCGTATTAATCCTCTCTACCCGGATCCCTCAATCCAACTCAATCGAGTCGAGGAGTGAATGTTTTCATCCTCCAGTGTATGACTTTGACGTCAGTGTGGCAGCACACAGACAATCAGATGTCGCCGTGATGAGGAAATAAAAGCTCTGTCGATTTGTAACTCATTTCATGTGCATTCAGACTGCGCACAGTCTCTTCACCGCAAGTCACAACAGTGATTTCTATGGTATGGATGTCATTCTTAAGCAGCAGGTAGTACACAGGAAAATAAATAATCTGCCACAAGAACCACAAACAACTGATATCCAAACAGACTGACTGAGAATTCACTGATAATGTCTGTTTGTATGTCTGTATGTGTGAGTGCATGCTGCTTGGAGCGCACTGTGATCATATCCTATGAACAACCTCTTATGCCCCCAGGCAGAATAATTTACTCTAGAGGACTGATTGAGTGCATGAGATGAGACCACGAGCAAGAGCGAGGTTCTATGTATATATGTGTATGTGTGTGTGTGTGTGTGTATGTGTGTAAGAGAGAGAGAGACTGAGTGAGTTGTGTGACTGTATCCTTTAGTGGCATATTGACATTTCCACATTGAAGGGCAGCTGCCTCATTACATTACAATATGTGGGTGAGATTTTATGTGCATGCGTGGTGTGTTCTGCAGCAGCTGATTCCAACAGTTTCATCATGCTGGTTGTTTATCTGTGATCTCACTGACAGTACCACTGCTGTGGATATAATCTGTGTATAATCAAAATCTGAAAACATTAACATTTTCAGATGTTGTGGAGAAATTTCTGTCTGGACCATAGTGTTGGATCAAGTGACAGGCCGACAATGTTATCCCTACAACCACACTAACAGCATAAAAAATAAATATAGCAATAAATATGTTTTGTTTACATTCATCATAAACTACAGTTATGGAGGTGAAACTGTAATCAGATTCATATACAGTATTACCAGTGTACTTATAAAGCCATTAAAGCCTGTTTTTAACTGCAAATAACCCTTATTAACACCACTCCCAAAATGATGCCATCTCTTTTTTCTTATTTTCTTACAGCTTGCACTAACACGTGCAGATGTATGTGCGTGTCATATCTTGGCGGACCTGACAGTGAACATCAATTACGTTATATCTAGTTTGTGGTGTTAAATTGCTCCTTACTCTCTGACCTTTAGACAGGCTGTCTCCTCCTCTGCAAAGCTGTCTCAACATAATCTACAGCATAAAGGAGCCACTCTGTCCACTTTGATCATTTACTGTGTCTTTTTATTACACGAACATCACAGAGCTTCAAAAAGCGCTTAGTTTGGAGTATTACCACCAGTTTGCTGGACTTTTTGGTATTTGGTAACAAGGATACAATATGTGAGAATATGAGAATAAACACAGACACAAACACACACACATTCTCTACTTTGATACATAATGCAGAGTAGATGTCAAGGTCATATTCAAGTTGGAAACTAATGTTCTTTATATCAGAGCTAGAGACCTCGAACTCCAATGTGTGAACAAAAGCAGTGTGCCACCTCTAAAGATCACACAGGATAGGAAACTGCCACCACTCCCAACCTGATATCATTACATATACACTTTGTTCCCTATTTACAGCCACTAAGAACATAAGTGTTGCAGGTTGTCTCTATCTCTGTAAAGACACAAAAAAGAATTGACTTTGGAGTATGTGTTATGACTAAGAACTTGTTATAACTAAGACCAATAGCACACAATCAAGCTTTTCAGAATAAAAGACAGTTTTGATCTCAGTTTGCAAAATATAAAACATTACATAAGTCATGGAGGTTGATCATTTTTTTCGACAGTGTCCTTTAGCTGACTGATAATGTGGCAAAATCCAAGTTTTCACATGACAATGGAAAAATGTATCTGTGCTTTGGCATCAACCACTCGCAGACATAAATACCGATATGAGAGGGGAGCTGTAGGCAGGAACAGTCTGACAGAGAGATCACCAGAGACAATCCAAGTTGCATACACGCAAAAAACATTTCTAAATATACGCTATGATATAGTCTGACCATACCAAAAGAGCCACAGAAGCTGTAGCTGCCACACCAAATGGCACGAAGGAGTTCAAAGCAAAGTTTACTACATGTTTATCTGACGTCTTACCTTCTTTACTGGAATAAACTGATGATTTCCGCTCAGCTCCACTCGTGCAGTAGCTGCCTTGTTTTTCAGCTGTCTTTATTTGCCTTTATGTAGTCCTAACGGCGCGTGAGACAGAAGCAGAGAATGTACCACTGTGTGCATGTGTCTGCATGTTTTTGTTCAGAGCAAAGTGGGTGGTTGGTTGACCCTCTAACTGCAGGGCAAGGTCACAGCGGAGAGAAATCTGGTCCCTTCTGCCATCTGCTGGTAGGAGCAACACAGGAAATAAGTGTCTTTTGTCACCAAACTTCATGCAGCAAGTCTGAAAAGAAAATAAGATAATTCACAGGGTTCAGTCATACTGAATCAAACAAAAATTTAACATGGCCACTGGAAAAAAAGACTGACAAACATAACAGGCAGCAGTTTGAGAAGAAGTGAGGCCATGTTTTGAATTTTACTGTTTTTCTTTAAAAATTTCCCTTTTCCATTTTGTTTTAGTTTTTTTTTTTTTTTTTTACACCCAATGTAACTCTAAAATAACAGTAAATTTCATTAAAAAATACTAAATGCTGTTATAGGGAAAAATCCTTAAAAAAATGCATGTGAACAAAGTATACGATGGAAATTACTGTGCATTTAATGACACAAATAATAAAAGGAGCAAGCAAACAAACAAGCGAGGTGCTAACTGTGGCCCTGGAGAGAGACGCTAACTAGACTCAACTAAACATGCGGTATACATGCAGCATATAGGGAATACAAGTATATTAGCATTTGACTAATGGAGCATCACCATAAGAGCAGAAGAAAGGAAAGACTCCATGGTGAGGTGAGTGACAACCTTTCCATTTCTTACACTGACTCCAAAATATCCTTATTAAAAGCAATTGGTTTTAATGACAATTCAATCACAAGTGAATAAAGAGAAATAGTTACCAAGTAGTTTCAAAAATGGCCCAACACAAACACTGAGGTACATCTGTTATTACATTAAATGAGCCCTCTGCTCTCATTATACATAGCTATAGCTATGTATCAATCTATAATAGCTACTGTATGTGCCAAATGATGTATATGAGAAATACAGCTACAAAAAAAGTACTACACTCTTGACCTGTTAAAAGACTTTGTAAACAAGTCACAGCAGCAACAGTAAATGTATACTTTTCAAATGTTTTGGACTAGCCACTGCAAATGAACATTTAACTCTGAAAGTGGTTACCAATGCTTCCAGGTGGTATGTCAAGGGAGAAAACTACAACACAAATATTCTAAGAAAGGCCTCAATTCAGGATGTGACTATCTGGACTTACTGGATCGCTTTAGGTTTCTTTATTATGGTCAGATCTTAGAAAAGCTGATGCATAGTAAATGCTATTCCATTTAATAACTCAACTCTACCCCAACCTGTGATTTACAGCAGTCAAAACTACAAAACTTACTGAGCACAGATTTAGAAATGAACTAGTATATAACTGATTAGACCTTCTTCAAACATGCTAACACGACATGTTGACTTGTCACATCAAAAAGAGTGTGTTGCTAAAAACATTAACAATGGCTCTCTTCCATTCAAGTGTCCTGACAGTGAGTCAGCATGAACAATACCAGGATCCTGAAACTGAAGCAGCTAAATGGGATTCCGCCATCATTAATTATATTAGATACACCTGTGATTGTAAGACATGTCAAATGTCTTTACTGAAAAAAGCCTATTGATAAGAAAAATTAGAGATAAAATATAAAGAATTACAGTGGCGTCCAAGTGGCTTAATGGTCAAGTCACATACCACATGACCACAATGTCCATGGCTCGATTCCTGGCCAGGGGACTCTCGTTACAGGTCATAGCCCTCTCTCTCTGCCCTTGCTTCCTCTGTCCCTCTTGACTGTCAGCTATCAATGATGGCAAAATGATGAAAAAAAAGTTTTTGCCCTCTTATCATAAACTATATTCAATTTTAAACCTAAAATTGACTGAGATCTAACCAAATAAAACACGTATACTTAACTTATAATAGTGGTGTCAGATTTTTACTTGTCGTGGCCGGAACAGCACAGGTGCTACTAATAACATTAACGATGGCTCGTTTCCAGCAATGAAGGCGATGCAGACATGAATCATATTATCACACCCACCTGTGTTTGACAAGTCAAAATGTTGAGATAAAGGTCTATGTCAACAATTACAATGAAATCAAATCAAAAGAATGAGTTTGGATATTTTTACTTAAGTCTACTCAGGCGAGTTGTTATTTTGAGTATTTTTATGTATATTTAGTCTGAATTAAAAAAAAACTTTATAGACATGTCTTCGTATGATCTTGTTGCGTTCACTTTTATTAAGTTTTTTCTTTTGAGTTAACAGGTTATCTAAATTCATATTGTCACTTGTTGTGGCATAGAACTAGAATCACTTTTATCAACTCAACTGTGCTGGTCTATAGTTGTTTTATCTCCCAGTCGTTTGCTGAAATCTAACATTTGCTGGTGAAGGAGTATGTTCACATTTCCTAACTGCTGTCTCCTAGTCTTCAAATGGTTCAACAGAGCACTCACAGACATCAACAGAACACCATCACTGTTCTGACAGTCCTCAGTTACCAATAAATCCTCTTTCCATGCTTCCTGTAAACTGTCACACAGGGCCTTTATGTCCTGGTTGAAATGGTCAGTCTCCTGCCAGTATCTGTCTTTGTTCCTCCTGGCTCTGCTAACATCCTCTGTCATCTGTCTGATACAGAGATGCAGCCTGCTGTTCTCCATTCGGACCTGCTCCAGTTTCACGCTGTTGTTGTAGATGTTTATTTCTACAGCTCTCAGCTCTGAGGCCTGTTTTTTGAGAACATCCATGTAACTTGCTTGCGTTTCCTCCAGCTCAGCCTTCATCTCCTCTTTGGGCTGAAGCAGACAGCTGGTTTTCTCCCTCAACCCCTGAATGGACAGCTCCAGCTCGGTCCTCCTCGACCTCAACTCAGAGGTGAGCATTTTCAGTCTCCGGTGCCTACTTTGCTCCTCATTCCATCTGGCCTCCACCTCCCTCAGTACCTCCTCTTTCTCCTTCACCTCCCTCTGCTTCTCCTCATTGCTCCTTGTAATGCTCTCAGTCTCTGCAGCGTGTTCCTGTATTTCCTGATGGTATTTGATCTCTGTCTGTCTGTACTCCACCTCACACTGGGTCATGTGGCTCATTAGTAAGTTGGCATCTGTGCTCTTGGGCTGGCGCTGGTGGAGTGCTGCCTCCTCCTGTCGCAGCTCCTCGTATCTCCTCCTGGTGTTGCTGATGTCAGAGGTCATTTTCGCCACGTGTGCCTCCTGCTTCCTCTTCTCCTCCTCAAGGAGTCGTCTTAGCCTACTCTTCTCCTCCTCAAGATGGCTGACGTTCTTCTTCTCTGTGTCCATGTTACCACACAGCTCCTCCTGATTCCTCTGAAATACACGCTGGTTGATCGTGTCAGCTTCCAGCAGTGCTCTGATCTGCTTGTCCATCTCTTTGATGTCCTTCTTGTGTTTGACTATGGAGGCAATCCTTTCCTCCAGCTGCAGCTTGGACCGCTCAAGCTGCTGTGAGACGTGGAAATACTCTGACCTTACTTCACTCTCTTCATCATGATGGTGCTTGAATATCTCATAAATTTGAGCCAGGAGGTCTTGACAGAGCAACCTTGATGCTCGACCCTCCTCGATTTTACCCTCAACTGTGGAAATTTCGTCTTTAAGACGCTGAATGGCCAGGCTGAACGCTTCTCCCAACTCACGCAACTCCTTCTTAAGCGTTTCTCTCTGTTCCCTCAGTTCTTGATGTTTTTGGGTGTCCCCCTCCAGCTGTTTCTCAAACTGGCACCTTGATGCTGTTAGTCTTTGTAAATTGCTCTCTAGCTTGGCCATATCAGCCATTAGCCCTCCCAGATGGATATTGGTTTCTTGTCTCTTATCGTTAACTCTGTCCAGCTCTGTTCTGTTCCTCCTGATCGCTTGCTTCTGCTGCTTAGTTTTCCCATTTGTCTGATCCACTTCTCTGGACAGGTTGTCTTTTTTCACAGTGGAAGCCTCTCTCTCGAGCGCCATGTTTTGCTCCAGGGTTATTTTGTCCTGTTCCACAACAGCAATGCAGGACTTCAGTTCCTCTATCTTCTCCTGTGTCTGATCCAGCTGAATTTGCAAGCCATATTTTAGGGTGATTTGATCATTCAGAGCAGCAATGACCTCTTCATGCTCACCTTTAAGTTGTTCTCGCTGAGGGTACAGTGCTTCGTTTTGGCTCAAGAGAGCTTCCTGCCTCTTCACAGTGGCTTCTTGTAGCTGAGAGACTGTGTTTAGGTCTTTGTGCAGCTGCTCTATCTCCTCAGCATTAGATGCACGGGCTGCTCCAACGTCAGCCATGATCTCCTGGCTCATTCTTTCACGTATGTTGTTAATTTGATGTCTTAGCTTACTGTTTTCTATGGTTTCCACTTCTAAATGTTCATGGGCAGCACGTCGGTCCGACTCCAGATCAGTAATAGCAGCCGTCATCTCTGCCAGATGGGGGCTAGCTTCAGGTGCGAATGGTAGTCCCTCCTCTTTCATCTGTTTGTCCAGTTCCTTTAAATGCTCGAGAGCAACCATAACGGCCGGGAAGTCGGGGACCAAGCAAGAAGCCATTTCTTTTTAATCCAAATGTGTTTTGTTTTAGGTCTTTGTGTGTCTTTTGCTCGAGAGCGTGTCTGCTGCTTTAAAGTTCAGTTAGTTTCCACCTGCGGTAACTTGTGAGTGCAGTCGCCATGGCAACAGCTGGCCCACCACGAAGAAGGAGAAGAAGACAGCATGCTACGGCGAGTCAGCGAGACCACAATGTTTTTAGCCGTGGCTAACCGTCAGCTAACCGAGGAACCAAGCGACCGCTACCACTAAGCTTGTAAGTAACCACAGGAAACTAATGTAAACTGAAGTTTAGATAGACACGACACGGAGACCTCTGTGTTTGAAGCATGAAAAAATACGTAGTTCTACCAGTGAGCTTTTCGGATCTAGTGTCCTGAAAAACACAATGATTTAAATGTTGAACGCTAAACAATGGGTTTGGTGCTTACCTGAAAAGTGTCGCAATTCCTGAGCAGACGACCAACCGTTTGGGATTACCCTCGTTTACCCAACATGTGTATTTCACAAGTCAGACGTGCTTAGTATGACAGCTAGCGTCCAAACTGGGCGGTGGTAAGCGAGTATTGTATATATGGGAAGCACCCCATGCAAGCGTCTGTGTTGCCAGATTTGAAGATTTCACGTAATTAGATTGAAAAGGAGGATCTCAGATATTTGTGGGAGTTGCCACAAAGTTGGTTTATATGTATTTTCCCAAAGAACTTAAAATGAAAAAACGAAAAAGCCTCAGTTAGTCCTACCATTGAAGTTGTGAGTCATACAACAAACACACTGACTTGGGAGATGGATGGACTGGTGGTCTCACCATTTGAGCTTCTCTCACTAGTGGAAAATGGTAGTATTTTATTGGCTTTTGAGCTGCTTTTGAAAAACACGTTTTACCTCTGATTTTCTGATAATTTAATCTTGTCAGAAAGACCTACACAAGACTGGATTGTGGCAAAATTTAGATTTGCACCCCTACTCTAACCCTTTGGCCACTTTTTTTATCTCTCAGGTACAGGTCAGCCCAAAAAAAACAATATTCTAAAAAAAAAAAAAAAATAGAGCTGTAACAATTTGAAGCTTGTTCACACAACTCATTGCAGAAAACCTGCAGAGCTGTTCTTTGTTTTTTTATGTCAGATTGTTTTGCAAAATCTATACACACTGTTAAAATTAGTTTTTTGACACACCTGAAATTAAATCTAATCATGTTTTATGAAAACATTGAGAGCGTGGATTAAGGTGTATTGGGGAAAGGTCTCACATGGAATACCTGCTAGCGCAACACTTTTATACTGGCAATGAAAACTATAGTGTTGGTACTCATAGAGAAAAGAAAATTAGTAACATAGCTAGTCACTTACTCACAAATCACACTCAGTCCTCTTGGTTACTTTTGTTCTTCAGACCCAAAATAACAAACTCAGAGTGATGCCTCAGCATTTTTTGTCCATATGTAATCACTCCAAATGAACTCAAACTCCTCTTAGGCAGACTGCTTCAACAGAACTGAGTTTGGTTTGTTTAAAAAGGACTGTATGTGAAACACCCTTAGAGTAGATCAAAAAGTGGACCAACAGAAAAGGGACTTGTGGTTCACTTCAGCTCTGATGGAGCCTCAGTCCTCTTTCTGCTCACATTATAGTTCCTATGGAGCTCTCAGACCTTTACTGCTTTGGATTATGGGTAGCTTTCACAGAATCGATAAACTTGCCCTTTTGGGGCTTGACCCCTAATAATATAGGTATTAAATCTAGACTTTGAGAGTAGATTTTGATGTCCTCCTCCATAAGGTTTGTGTGTTGTGGTGCATATTCCCAAACAAATGTGCAATTAATCAAATTACCAAAAATGTATTTGTCAGACAGTGAGCCAAGGATCTTTTGGGCCCTTAAGGTTCTGGGGTCTTAAGGCAATTGTCTGCTTTAACTGGTTAGTAATCAAGCCTTGGTCCTATATTAATTTAAAGCAAATTTATACTCCTGATAATCCATTCTGATGGTTTTTCATTTGATACAATAAACCACATTTCTTTGATGCCTGTTAATGTTACAAAACTGGCCAAAGACACAGTGAAAAGAAATGTTCCTGCAGAGATAACACTTATAATTAACTGATTTTTCTCCTCCAATGCCTCACCTCACTTATATTTGGGAAATACATTTTTTAAGACATTGAAGTAAGATTTAAATAATATAAGGACTGAAATTTGTGGAGGTCTATAACCAACAGAACCTGGCAACCCTGACCTGTCGCGGTGTATTGTCGTCAGTCCACAAATGAAGACGTAAAAAGCACAGAAATAGAACATGTAGAAGTTGCATTATCAATCCACTAGCTCTCATCCTATCTGTTTTTATGAAAGCCACTGGAAATGTTGGGACATTTTGTTACATCGTTAGTAGTGGCATATTGACTACGAAACTGGAATAATTATATGTTGTAGTTTGATTTAAATGTGTTCATAATAATGAGTTATGAGTTTGAGTCTCATGATTTTCCACACAGAAAGTTCTCATCATCATTAACGTGTTAATGTTGCATATATTTATAGATTGCATCAAAATATTTTTTTATATATACTCTATGTTTTCCACGGGGTGTTCGTTCTATCCATCGTAAGTCTAGCAGCAGTGCTGCAGCCTGCAGAAAAGCAGAGACGGGCCACAGAAACATGGACCTTATCAGTAAACCAAGGAGCAAGTCTATCGTCTGGCTGTATTTTGGCTTGAAAGCAGATGAAAAGGGACAACCATTGAACTCTGGCGAGGCCATTTGTCGTTTATGCCGAAAAATAGTGCTTGCAAAAGGAGGAAATACCACGAATTTAAGAAGTCATCTGAGACGTCGACATCGTGCAGATTTTTTCGAGACCACTTCCTCCACGAGCTCTGCAGCTTTGTTTGAGGCGCCAGGTGAATTTTCAAATTCTGCACTGTTTGGTTTAAAGCGCATTGAATTTGAGTCTGATAGCACTGACCGCCATTGCAATACATGCATCCACCCCCTGTAAACTGACAAAATACAGTTGCAGTGGGGCTCTACTGTGGATTTTATAAAGTTGCATCGTCAATGTGGAGCAGTTAATTGGGGAAAAAAGCAGACCCTGATCCCAATGCTGCTCTTGCATGCACGCTCTTCACTAATTTATAACACACTTTAGACCACAGACCACACGCTACGGTATAACTTGTTTTACTTAGCAGAATATTTCATGATGTCACATAGATGTGAATGTATTTAACGTGCCACATATATGAATGCAACATTCAATTCTGACTATGCACTGCACGGGTAAATATTATACTGTCCAATGCTGAGTGTTGATTTTCGCCATAAAAAGCATCTGTAAATCACTTTACAGACGCTTTTACGCATGCGTAAAGAGAACGCCAGATACGAGCGCGAGTCTGTTTTACGACAGTCTCATCCTTGTTGTTGCCATGGTATCAGTTAAACAGCCATTCACGCAGTCCATTGTAAGGGGGCTGACGGTAACATTTGGGAATATTTTGTTATTAAATTATCATTTGTTTCGGGAGGTGTTGACATTGTATCGCTGGCATGACATGTCGTAAATAACAGTTCTGCGGTTGGTGCGATGATTGGCCATTGTGAGCCGCCATCTTTTGCATTTTAAAACCCATTTTCTAAACAGACCCGTCTCTTCTGTACAAGGTGATAATGACTGAGCTATAATCGTCGTATAGCACCCAACTTGACTACGGTTTGGTATCCATCCGCTTTGTTTACATGGCCAAAAATTAACACTTGCTGCGCTCGCTGCATTGAATTTATTAGCTACTACTCTAACAGCTGATGGAGCTAGCAGCTAACATTATGAACACAGACCAGAAGGATCCTCTTGATCATTTTGATTTGTTTGGTTCCGATATGACAACTAAAGAGGAGATCATTCTGAAAGAAGAGGAAGAGTCACAAGAAGAGGAAGAGTGTGAGGTAAATACCACTGACATTTTTAGGCATGCGATGGTATCAGACTTGGAGCTTGATGAACTTGAAGACAGCAGGACTGAAATAAGCAAGGTTACTAAGAAGCAGACGACATGGGCTGTTAACTGCTTCACAGGCTGGTTGGAGTCTCAGGGGCTCCAAGTGGACCTGACTACAGTGGAGAAGACTGAGCTCAACAGGCTGCTGAGACACTTTTATGGATCAGTACGCAACAGCAAAGGAGAGCTGTATGGGATTGCCAGTTACATTGCACTGAGAGCTGGGCTTAACCGTTACTTCAAAGAGCCTCTTGTCGGCCGTCCTGTGTGCTTAATGAGAGATGCTGAGTTCACATCAGCCAACAAGGTGTTCTTGGGAGTGCTGAAGAGAATTAGGAAGTCTGGTCGAGACATAACATCACACCATCAGGCACTGTCACTGGATGACATCCGCATCCTAAGACACTCACGTGCAATGGATACCAGCACTCCAAGGGGACTTCTGAACAAAGTCTGGTTTGATATACAGGTACATTTCGGCCGCAGAGGGAAGCAGGCCAACAGGAATCTGAAGCCAGATTCATTTGTAATCAGAAAAGACGAGAGAGGACTGAGATACTGCACTTTAATTTTTGGTGATGAGACAAAAATGTTTAATGAGAAGGACAGATGCTCTATGTTTGAGAAGCCAGGCAATGGACTCTGTCCCATTGCTTCTCTTTTAAAGTACCTTAGCAAACTCCCATCCAATGCAGCTGCCCTCTACCTGCAGCCTAAGAAGGAGCTAACAGATAATATGTGGTACAGTCACATCCCCCTAGGAGTCAATTATCTGGGCTCAATGTTGGCTCGCATGTGTAAAGAAGCAGGAACATCTGTGATCTACACCAATCACTGCATCAGAAACACACCCTTTCTACAACTGTGTGACGCAGGACTGGAGGGGAGAGAGATTATTACTGTCACTTTGCACAGGTAGGATGGGTTTGCTCACCTGTTGCCATCTTAATATACATTTGTCCCATTTCACTTGGTCAAACTGTGTAAATACTATATTTCTAACAGGTCTGAAAGCTCCCTCCAAAGTCACCAGACACCGTGTCTCAGGAGTCGAAGGCAGCGGAGTGAGATATTGCCAGAGAACTATTCAGCTGGCCCAGCAGGTCTGCCACCAGACAAGTGGGCACCCCTAACAGAAGATCACTCAAGCACACACATTCTGCACCACTGCTGCAATGGATTCATTATTTTAGTAAATACACTCGAGTGAAATATTCAGATAAATGTCTACAGAAAACGAATGAATCAATGTGATGCTGGATACAAGACGCTATACATTTGTCTTGGTGGGAGAAGAAAATAAAACAAATCAAAACAAACTTAAAGCTTCTGTCTTTGCTATAAACAACTAAAGTGTAAAATGGTCTGTATTTACTATAATATACAGTATCTAGTGTTGTATATAGTAGCAATCACATTCTAATGCAGTGACATCCTCCTGTTTTTTGTTTTTTTTTAAACCTAAAACAACCAAAGAAACAGTAAACATGCTCCATAAAGAGGACTGTCACCAACAACATCTCACCATATTTTACTAATTATTCCTTTATTTTCTAGGTTTGGATCTCAACCATGACGAATTTTTTGAGGATGTTCCATTTCTCCAAAATGCTTCGAATCAGAACTATGTCCCAGATGCTGTGTTGCCACCTGGGGAGCCGTGGCTCCATGGTGGCCCCTCCCGAGCAGTGCTATCCCTGCCTTCCTGCCTGTGCCTGTGCAGTGACGTTGGGTCTGGGATGTCTGGTCCTGGATCTTCTGGTGAGGAGCACATGGGAGAGATGAAGGTGTACGCCAAGTGTCACCTCCAGCAAGGTGTCATGTTTGGGCCCTTTGTAGGAGAAGTGTGCAGGGGACAAATGCCGACTAACCTCAAATATGCCTGGGCTGTAAGTAGACTGGTTTGACTCAACATAAAGAGTCAGTTTAAAATCAAGTTATTGCAAAAACTAGTACTGTTTAATGCCACAGTCGCATTTAAAATCTACTTTAAAATCCAAAATCCATGATATAATTTGTGTTGATAAACCAGCAGAAATTCCATATAGAATTGGTCATATTTCATATCGTATATCTGACATACACATCACTCCCATCTCCAGATTAGGGATGATGCTGCTTTCATCTACGTTGATGCCTCTGATGAAAACAAATCCAACTGGATGAGGTGTGTATAATGTTTCCTTTCTCCCTGTTGCTTTATGTTTTTTGTAATGCTGTTTGACATTCAGTCCTTTGTATTTTTTTTTTTTTTTGCTGGTCACAGTGACACTCTGTATATATATTTGCTCTATGTTTTAGGTATGTAACATATACGAGCAGTGAGGAGGAACACAATCTGGTCGTCTTCCAGTTTTACCGTCACATCTACTACAGGGTTTCCCAGCCCATCCCAGAGGGAGCAGAGCTCAGGGTCTGGATTGGCAAGGATTATGCCTCCCTGCTGGGCCTGGGGATGGGTGAGTTCTGTCCCACTGTGTTACTGTCATGTGATAGATACACACTAGCTGAACCATATTGGTCTTTCAACTGACAGTAGACTTAGATTTAACTAACTATTATTCTGAAGGTATATATAAATATCTTCCAGTAACCTGTACTTTTGTTTTTGGTGGGGCAATACAGGCGACAATGTGAAATGTGAAGTTGGAGACAAGGAGACAGCTCTGCGCCTCCTGCAGGATATTCAGTTGGTCACCCTCCCGGAGCCCAGCAGCACTTCCCTTTGGTCAGATCAAAGCCAGTCACAGAGCCCCATGCCTGTCATCAGTGATGTGACAACAATGTCAAACCCAGACACAGCTAATGATCCAGGTGGGATTTCTGCCTCTGCCCTCACCAACACCTCCGTGATCTCCTTCCCGTCCCCGAGCTCTCATCTGATGGAAAAGTATGATTTTATGCCTGGAACCGAGAAACTGCTGAGTAACCCAAGCGCCACACAGAACAGCCCGTGGTACTTTTTTGGGTTTGAGCCAGACCCAACCGGTCGGCCTCTGGACCGGAGCATAGCGGTGTGTAAACTGTGTGTGGAGCACGTGGGCTGTGCTGGAGGGGCAGCAGACCTCCAAAACCACCTGACCAACAAGCACCACATCAGACCACGTGATAGTAACAAGGATCGGAGTCTTCTGATAATAGGTAACGATCACTGTCTGCTGTCTGTTTGCATTGTATAGTAGATACAGAGTATCAAAGTTGCGAGGTTAAAGGAAAGACCTGGTTTATCCCAATTTGAACTTAATTTTCATAAATTTCACCATTATATATGAAAACATTTTACTCACCAGATCTGAGAACAAAGAACCATTTCTGTAACAAAATCCAGCAGCAAAAAATTATTAAAATGATCTAAACCACTTAATTTACTGGTAAAACTTAAAGTGAGCACAAGAAAAATGTTAGTAAGGTCAAATATAACCAGGAAGGGAGCAATTGAAAGTTATGGTAATAACTTTACTGTTCATTTGTCTTTAACCCAGACCCTGTCTTAGTTATACTACATGGCTAATTGGTACAAAACACAGCTGAGGCTGATGGGAATACATTATTTTTTCAGATAATTGGTCATAAACTTAAGTACTGAGCAAATTTTAATTTTGACCTGACAATGAAGCTAGATGGAAAGGAATCACCAAAGTTATTTAGGATTCATCATCTTCGAACCATAAATGTTTGTACTGAATTTTGTGCTAATTAATTCTGTAGATATCTATCTATAAGTGAAAACCTTGACCTGCTGACGGCACTAGAGGAAAAATCAGAAGACCACCAATGACGTTATGAGTCATCTTCTAGGCACCATGAACATCTGCACCAAATTTCATGGCAATCCATTTAATAGTTGCTGAGATATTTCAGACTTCAGACCAAAGTGGTGAACCACGCCACGTCATTAGTCAGGGTATAAATAAGGCCCAAGTTGTAGAAACCAGAATTTTACTTTTAACCATCCTAAAGCTCTTTTGTTGTTGTGAGGAATCTTGTACTTTGCCTTTTTTCCAACAAACCACTGCGGTTTACCCAATAAACGTGTTGAGTATAGTACAAAGCTTGGTGGATATTAGGGCCGGATGATTAATCCCACTTGCGATAATATGGCGATATGATAAAATGAGATTTTCTAACCGCAAAGGCTGCAATTACACTCTGATCAGAGCACATGCAAGCTAGAGTAGAGCGGTTGACTAAAAGGGAGCAAAAATTTGGCATGCTACACTTTGACCTGTGGTATAATGGCCTCAGGCTCGACAGAACCTGGCACTGCGGAAACTTTAGTGTCAAAGAGGAGCAGCACATCGGATGTGTGGAACTATTTGGGTTTTAAAAAAGAAGATGCTGCACAGCGTCAGGTTTTGTGCAGAGCCTGCCTTGCTACCGTCGCTACCTCAGGGGTTAACACTACTAACCTATATGTTTACGACTTTGATAAATACACTGGATAAGTGGTACAGCATGCCCTCCCGCACAAATTTTAGCCTGGTTGCCACACCATAGCTATATAAATAATACACGTTGAAAGTCACAGCGGACCTGAGTTTTCCACACTACAACTGACATGTGGTCAAGCCGTACAGCGGAGCCCTATCAGAGTCTTACGGTGCATTTCATTAATAAAGACATCGACCTCAAAGCTCGCTGCTGGGGAAAACATTGCAGCCGGCTGTAGAGAGGGGCTTGCCATCTTACAAGGCTATAAGTTAAACAAATCAGTCAATATACTACTGTGATTGAAGTAGTTAAATAAACAATTTATGTTTAATCAATCTAATATTGTGTTTGTTGAATAATACAGAAGATAAGGAACTTTAAAAAAAAAAAAATCTCATATTTAATCGCAATATTGGTGAAAAAAAAATGCAATTAGATTATTTTCCCAAATCTCTCAGCCCGAAGAGATACTTTAATAATCCCAGAGGGAAATTGCAGAGTTGTAGCAACCACTTAATATACAATGAGCTAGGTAATAAAATGCAATAATAGGCTAAATTACACAAATGAATAATTAAATAAAGTCTAAAAATATGATATTTATATATAAATAAAAGAATAAATAAAGATAGCTATGTGTACTACGTGAACAGTCTTTGTAGAAATGTGTTGTCAAACTATGGTAGATTATTTGCTCATTGAAGATTTGTTTTTTGTTTTTGTTTTTCAACAGGTCAACGCTCTCAGCCAATGATGGTTAACAGCGGTCTGGTCAGCACCTTCCCCCTGGTTTTGTCTACTCAAGTGACTGATGCTATCACCAACTTTCTCATCATGGATCTCCAGCCTCCAGCTCTGGTAGAAGGGGAAGGCTTCAGACAGCTGATCCACACCATCCTGCCCACCTGCAAAGAGCTGCCGTCACCCTGTCAGCTCGAGAACCTCCTGAAGGAACACCACACCAAAGGCAAGACCAGCCTTGCTCAGCTGCTGAGAAGGAAAACAGGAAGCGGAGAGACTGAGGAGACCTCTGACTACACTGCTCCCATCGAGTTTGAGCCCAGGAGACGTGGGCGACCTGCCAGCTATCGGAGGGAAGTTCCTCACTTTGTCACTTTAAGTGTGGATGTTTGGTCCCACAACTGGCAGGGCAACATTGAGAAGTACCTCACCCTCTGGGCACACTTTATAGACTCTAATTTTACCTTTCAGAACGTGGCCCTGGCAACCCAAAGACTGACAGAGAGTGGGGTGAAAGATTACACCCTTCGAGCAGTGGAGGCTCAAGTGAAAGCGATGGCACAGGAGTGGGGAATCTCTCAGCCCAATCTGGTCCTGCTGGGAGGGGAAGGGAGGAATAAGATGAGGCTGGGGCCAGTAAAGAGCGAGAAAGGTGGAGAGGCTGCGGGAAGCGTCCCTCACCCAAACTCAACAACATTTCTTGAGAGGGATGACTCTGTGTTACCTGAGGAACCGCATGGCTCTGAGCACGGTCATTCCAGTGAGGGACTACCATCTGTCCCATGTTTCTACAGCGCTGTGCAGGACTGCATTGAGGAAGTGATGTCACATCCTGTCATCTCCAAGACCCTCTGCCTATTCCAGGGTATTCTCTCAAACCTGTTCCAGCCACCTGCTCAACACAGAGGCTCATATCAGCATCATGTCCAGAGTCTGTTGCAGACCCTGACAAAACAAGAACAGGCAGAGCTGAAGTCGTGGGCTCATAGTCGGCCAGCGTGGAATAAGTTGTACCAGCTACTGAGCACTCTGCTAAAACATAAAAGTATTTTCTGTGATGTAATAAGAGAGATTAATGGGGAGGGCTTGTCTAAAGAAGACAGTGCTTCAGACACCAGTTCATCTGGCAGCTTCCACGCAAACCCGACCTCCAACACATCCTCAGCAAACGTCTCAATGCATTCTGAATGGAAGGTCCTGGAGGAGTTGTGTTTGGTCCTCAAACCTCTGGATGTGGCATGTCGAACCCTCGCCAAGGAGGCGTTCCCCCGTCTGTCCCTCATCAAACCCATTCTCATTGGCCTGCTCTCCCGTCACCTCGTATCCCGACCGGGAGATTCATCATCCATCTTAAAGGAAGTGAAGAGGATGATGAGGCGGAACTTGGCAAGCTGTTACCACAACCCTGTTGTCAACAGGGCTCTGTGTGTGGCATGTTCCCTCGACCCCCAGTTCCACGGGCTGGGGTTCATGGAGGAGAAGGTGAGTCATAAAGTTTAAATGAAGGAAACCGACTAGTGAATATCTGGGGGCTCACTTGAAATTCTTAACCATGCTGGCAGCATGGCACCTATTGGTTGAAGTCAACTGACTTTACCCTGTAGCATCAGTTTTTAATGAAATGTCTTGACAACTATTGGCTGGATAATCATGAGATCTGGTTCATTTAATTCCCCTCAGTATGAATTATAATGCCTTTTTTGATTAGTGCCATTATCAGGTCGAAATTTTAATTTCTCCAATACCTTAATGACCAGATACCCACACAAAACTAACACTCCCATCAGCCTCTGTACTTTGTATTTAGTCACTTATTAGCAAATGTTAGCATGCTGACATGCTAAACATTAACATATTAGCATGCTGTTAGTCTAGACTCTTAGTCTTGTTGATGCTAGTGCAGCATGATACCTAGGTTTCTGTAGTGATAACAAAATGCTGCTTTGGTGCTGCCTTACGTAAAGCATCCTCTTTTACATTTAACTAAGAGGTTAAAGAGGTTGTTGTTTAAACAAAAGCAGACATACAAGGACCGTGCTACAGTAAAATGTAGTCTGACATTGCTTAAGTTTGGATTTAAAATCAGGAACTGGTTGATAAGATGTCAGTTTGTGGTACTTGACATTTTTCAATACTCGGTGCTCTGGACAATTTTCAGTTTGTGTTAGCATAAACATTAATGTGTACTGAGAGATTAGTTTCCTGCTTATGACCACTTCATGTGTGTTTGTGTTTGAATGTTCGTTTGCCAACGCAGACTGAATGACATTAACTTTTGGTTGGTGTTAAACGTATAACAATGTGTCATGTGAGGAATAGTTGGGTACATGGATTAGATCTTTTTGGGATTATTTTCTAGGAGCAGACGGTCACTTTTGATTGGCTGAAGAAAGAGGCCGTCAGGATTGTGAAGGAGGACAGGAAGAGGGGCCAAGATAAGAAGCAAAGCCAGTTTAAGAGAAGCCCCTCCCCTGGGTCTCCAGAGTCAGAGAGTGAATTCCTGCGGAGGAGCAAACGCCTCAAAGAATCCCGCCCAATCAACTTCAGAGAGATCGAAGATGATGACGAAGAGAGCGATGTAGGAGAGACAGACGAAAACGAGTCCGCAGACCCAGGCTCTCAGGCCGGTCTGTCGGGAATGGAGTTCCTGCTGGGAGACCTGTTCTGCTCTGCCCCCCGGAGCAAGCAGAGCTCCGTGGAGGAGTCTATAGACATGGAGATGTCTGTTTTTAGAGCCGACAAGGGGGCCTCACTGGGAGTGGAGCCTTTGCAGTGGTGGAGGACGAAAGCAGTTCAGTTTCCACTTTTGGCCACAGTGGCACGGGCCTATCTGGCTGCTCCCGCCGTGGCAGGTAATGCTGCACAGGACTTTGTGCAGGAAGGAGCTGGAGCCACGTACAGAAAGAGAGCCAGCATCCCACCAGAGAGTTTGGACGCGATCCTGTTTCTCCACCATAACCACATGCCCACCACTGACACAGGGCAAACAGCACTGAGGAATGATGACAAGAACAGTGGGATTGAAAAGATCCCATAAACACACACACTCACACTCACACTCACACTCTCACACTCTCACACTCACACACACACACACACACACACACACACACACACACACACACACACACACACACACACACACACACATTCATTCCTTTTTCACAAACTCTGAATTTAACACTGTAAGCTACATGTGTAACACTTACCCTTATCCATATTTAAAGTTGATTATTACCATAAACCAAAGGCCCGACACAAAGTTAGCACACTGGAAAAGAGAGAAACAGCACAACGTCTCCATCTAGGATAAAAACAGGATGCTGAGGCTGAGGACACACACAGGTCAAATAAAAGTGTAAAATAAGTGCAATTTAGGAAAGGGATTGGAGATTGGACTTTATATTGGATTAGAACATCCTTCAACCATCTGAATTTTACTGATTGAAAATCTCATTTCAGTCTTGATTGTTATTACGGTCAATATGTGTAGTCACTAAAACTGATATGTTTTTTATTTCCTGATTTCCTGGAGACTGGAGAGAAAGAAGACTAACACTTAATGTAGTGTGTGTAGTCTGAACTATTCCACTACTGATTTACATTTAACTTTGTTGTGTGTACTTTGTAGCACCTAGTGCCTTACCTTGTTTTAATACTACAATGAAGTAGATTGAAAAGTATTCCTTTTTTTTAACCTTAATGCCAAATTTTAAGAAACATATATAACAGTGACGAACGAGGGTTCATGGTAATACTGTGCAAAAACTTTTAGCATGTGACTTTACTTTTGCACCATAAGTTGTATTTTGTTATGAATCAGTAAGTTATGAAAGATGGACTCCAAAGACTGAATATTAGCTCACTTCATGCTGCTTTTTCTTCATGTTACAGAATTCAAACAGTGTCAGTAAATGAACAATGGAACTTGGATCACAAGTGATCACTGAATAATGAAAAACACTTCGAAGCCAAAAAAAACAAAACAAAAATGTTACTTGAGTAGAATAAAATGTGCTCTCATTTCAGTTGTGGAGAAACGTTGTTTACTCCTCATTACCATGGGTCTGCTGTATTTCAGAGGGCAATTAGTTTGATGTGTAGTGAAACTTTAAAGTTACACAAAGTATAATGCACTTTCCAGCATTATATCATATACTGTTAACACGACGTCTGTATTGTTTTAGATTGTGATGTTGATGATGATCTTTCATGCAGAGTAATGGTTTTTGTCTTACTGTAATGTAAATATAGCAATCACATTCTTATAAAATAAAAATATATTATCGTTTGAGCAGTTTAATTATTAATTTTAATCATTCAACAATAACTGTGTATAAACAAAAACTATCAACACATTCTGGATTGTACAAAACATAGAAAAACTTGTGTCTGCTCTCAGAAGCATTAAAAAACAGGATATCATTCCACCTAGATTTTAAAAAAAAAAAAAAAAAAAAAAAGGGTTGTAATCCATGAACAGTAACAGACAGAAAAATGTTTTACAATCTGAAAAAAAAAAAACTTATAGACAGAGACCAAACATTTTATTATCCCTCTATAACTTGGATTCAGCCAGTCTGGGCATTGTCCTCCCTGTGGCGGGTTAGTTTCCTGCAGTGGATGAAGATGTAGACAGGATGGATAAACACCAGCAGAGTGAGGAGAGTCAGAGCAATGTCCACCTGCAACACATCAAAGCACCATACGTTTTACATAATCACACTACTCCATCAGTTTAATTTAACACGTGGACCTATGTTACATTTTGAAATGGATTCATTGAATACCAGTGGCACAGGCTTGGGTGTCAGTGTTGTGAAATGTATTCTTGCCTAAATGTGTCGCCCACAAGGTCAAAATATCAGCTTAGTATAACCCATTTTGATATTTAGCAGCTGTTTCTTTTGTACAACCACTTTCTTCAGCACTTACAAAAAAGGGGTCTCCACCCAGAGCTCCTTTGATGAGGGCGAAGCAGGGGTACTGCAGCAGAGAGACGACAGCAGAAATGGACATCACCAGGCCGTACAGCTTCCCAAAGTGACAGGCTGGAAAACTGCGCAAGAGAGAGAGAGAGAGAGACGTGTCATTTCCACAGATGAGCTATTAACTGTAACTTGGGTCGTGTCAGCTTGGCAACAACAAAATAATGTGTAGGACAAAAGCTTTGAATCATCATAGAGTTTCTGTTCAGTGTCAGTCGCCCTTCACCAATCATCATGTTTGTTTGTTTTTTTGACATTGTCATTTGACAGTGAGGCTGCTGAAGTGTCTTTCAGTCAGCGCTGGTGATGGTTAACGTCTGACCACTGATACTCTCTGCCAATGCATCTATTATCATTTTCTGACACTCCCTCCCTGTGACAGTACATCATTTTGCAGTGTTTGCTAATGGATCTGCAGTTCAAACAGCAACTGCTTTAAAGGTCCCATATTGTATAAAATGTCCATGTCTTTTTTTGTTTATAAAGCAGGTCTAGGTTCTATATTAATAGTATAATATAGTATAAAAGTATCAAAGAGCTCAATCCACAGAGAAATGCACACAGCCTGTATTCAGAAACTGAGCCTTAAAACCAGCTGTCAGGACTTCTGTAACTTTGTGATGTTACAACAAAACAGTCACCGCCCTCAGCCATGGCCCTAGACCCGACCCACCTTGACCCAGCGCCAGGCTTTGCAGGATTTTGGTTTCTCTGAGTGTTTACCTGAAATCTGCTACATTTTCATTTGATTATTCAGAACAGTCAGCCAATCAGAAGAGAGGCTCAGAGCCTCCTCTCTTCTGATTGGTTCACCGACCTGTTGTTACTAGAGCTCCAGAGAGAAGCCTGAGCGAGTATGTAAAACTACATTGAGATGGTGTTTGGTTCTTAAAATTACAAATATATCTTCTTAGAGATATTCTGATATTCTGTTACAAGTTACAAAAACACTGTAACTAATACTTTCCATCCTTTAAGTCACAATTACAGAAGTATGCTGCTCCTGTTAGTTAATATATATTGCATTTATGATGGCTCCAGTCTCACACTAGTGACAGGTTACTTAGTGTATCTTTGAAGTCTATGAGTCATGTACCTCAGCTCATCCATCTTCATAGAGGACAGCGATGCCAGGTAAGAAAATCAGACAAAAATGGTGATTGTTTACAGATTTGCTTAGTCAGCAGATCTGTAGGATGGGTTTTATGAATGGTCTTAATCCTACAAACTCTGTACTCTTCAATATTTGGAGTAAAATAATAAGTAAATAATTGCAATTTTACAGTGTAAGTGAAGAAACGACGCACATCACAAAAGTGCAAAGATACAAGATAGTGGCTGCCAGGACTAACAGCTACAAACACTGCGAAATGAATTATGTAATACTGCATCATGGTGACACACTGAATGTCAAACATAAGGAAACTGCAAAGAGGACCAGTGTTGCTCATCTTTTGTCAACAACAGAACAAACTCACTGTGAACAAGAACCAAACACTGTGGCCGTAACCAAGATGGTGCTTTCCGCAGGGCTGCTGTGCTTTTAAATGTTTCATATATTTTGTCCACCCCCGTGTAGATGTTAGTGTATGTGGCGGCTGCTCACGCAATGCTGATGAAGGCTGCGTTTCCGCCGTAGAGGAAGGAGCGATTGAGGACTTGTAGAACAAAGGTGAGATACTGCAGAGGGAGGAGACTGACGGAGGCGCACACGGAGAAGAGCAGGCACTGCAGGGAGGTCAGGAACAGAGACAGAGAGGAGGAGCGCAGGTCTGCCTCCCGCTCGGTTTCTCCTACAGGATGGAAAATGGTTGAGAAGAATAAGTGAAGTTGCTCTGTTGCACACACACACACACAAACAAACAAACAGCATGTCGTTCTGACATTAGTGACATCACTGATTTACCAGGAGCGAGAGGCTTTCCCTTGTGTCTGTCCATGATGAGTCCATTCCACGGAGCACACAGCACTCCACACAGCTGGGTGATGGCAAAAGCATTGGTGTACTGACTTACTGAGGGAGTAACGGTGGGAAGGAGACAGCCACGGAGAAAAAGTGAAAGGAGGTGGTGTTGGATGGTGACAAGCGAACAGAGAGAGAAAGAACAAGCAGAAAACCTTTAAATCACAGTCGGTTAACACGCGTGATAAATACGTGTCTTTTGTAATCAGTTACCCAGGCTGGGATCGTTGTTTGCCAGGCGGTTGAGCATGGGGTTGAGTGTGCCGATGAAGAGGTAGTGTCTCAGCTGCATGATGGACAACCACAGCAGATGCCACAGGAAGAACCAGGACAACACACAGCTCCGGAAACTCGCCGCTAAACACGTGAAAATTAACATTAAAGTCTGTGTTATGTTACATTTATTTAAAACTAGTGGTGACATTTCAAACATGTTTTGTCCTTTATATATGTGTATCTGCTCAGCACTCGGTTCGCAGTGATGCCATACATTCATCCGAGTGTTTTCTGGTAAAACAATCGAACAGCAGATCCACAACTATGCTGCATTTCAATAGCATAAGAAAAAATAAAAGAAGACTGCTTGCTACTGTGAAGTGTGTGTTTTATCATAGTGGAAAACAGGCGATTAGGAGAACAATACTGAGGAAGATCAGCGTCAGTGATCATTTCAAGTTTTTTTTATAGTTGCTTGCTTCATGGCCACACGCAAAGAACCTATTTTTACTTTTGGATGTCATGTTTCTCAAGTATCACTTTAAATAGATTATGATTTATTGGCAGTTTTATCATCTAACCATGGACTCCTCACATGACAGCGTGGATGTTGTGGAGAAGATGGCAACAGTCAGGATAAGTACCTTTTGCAGAGTCTCGGGCTTCCGTCCCGTCCTCAGGTGCTGCTGCTGGTGCGTTGTCCCTTCCACTGGACTCCTGTAACTCTGTCATCCTGTCTTCCCCAATCCTGTCAAACTGCTCCACGCTGTACGTGTTGGCCTTTCCACAATTCACTCTGAGCATCAGAAAAAGTGGACGTATGTGTCAGGTGTCTTGCATGAAGATGATCTACATAAGCTCAAGGAAAATAGCGGCTTCAAAGTTGATGTGATATTCTCACCCGTAGGTGTAGTGTTGTGGCAGAGGGTACGGGATGTGGGTTCTGGGCATCAGCAGGACGGTCCTCACCAGGTGAATGATGCTGCAGAAGGACAAAACGAGGAAGGAGGAGCGGAGACTGATTCCCTGTTCGTACAGAACCTGGAAAGCAGAAGAAAAAAAAAAATACATCAAAATGAACATGTATGTCAGATAGGTACACAGCATCATGACCTCAAATAGTGTATTTCAAGCACATTTCAAACCACAAGTTAAACTGGGTTTGGTGTAAACTGACCGAATGAAATGCTCTAAATAGCATCTAACGTTGTTTAGCATCTAACAGTCTAGGGAATAAATTCAAATACAACCAGAACCTACGTAGATGAACCGCTTCACTGTTTTACCTTGATGATGAGAAACACAGCGGCGGAGGAGTCAAAGGCACCGTTGTACAGGGTGATGATGGTGGAGCGGTGAGCTGCGAACAGGTTGCCCACCTTCCAGACACACACAGTCACATCAGTACAGAATATTGTATTGAATTATAGCTTTCTAAGGCATTCAAAATATTTATTTAGGACAAACAGTGTGTTTCTATGGTAAGGCTGTACAGGAACACTATGGGGTATTCACCTGCATGTTAGTTAGGAGCAGCAGAATTCCTCCCACAGCGATGGAGGACAAGGCAGGAAAAAGCAGCTCTGAAAACGCTACAGGACAGTGGAAGACGAACTCATCATACTTTATTATCCTTCAGATGAGAAATTACTTCCTTCACTAAGTTATTATGACATAAATGTGAACTTATTCCATTTTCTTTCACTTGGTTAGTGCTAGATCCATACAGCAGAGACGTAGTAATGGAAATGGTTCAGACAGGTTGTAGTTATTTTCAGCAGATAATTAAGAATTAAATATGGGTTTGATATAATTAAAACATTAATTATGTACTATAATCACTTGGGTTGCTAGTAATAACTGCCATAGTTTTTTACTGGGAGCCATTTGTAACTGGACAAACATTTCAGAAGAATCCAGAGAGAGGCTGTCAGAATCAAGACTTGTTAGCTGCAAAGAGATAAAATTAAAGGCAGCATGAAACTGTATATGTCAGCCTGAAAGTTGGCACCATGAGGTGATGTTTAAAAAATGTAGTGAGCTGCTGGAATGGTTACATGATGGTATTATTTGATGTACGCTGTGTATACTTGTGTGTGAGTTTGTGTGTAATTACCTGCACTAGAGAAGGCCACAAGAAGTGTTCCAGTAGTGTACAAACATCTGGAGAGGGACATATGACTGAATTTAGAGCAGCCATGTCCATATTTATCCACCAAAGCATACACACACTGACACAAACACTACACACACACACACACACACACACACACACACACACACTTATAAAACCTTTCAAAATCACCACATATAAAAACACAAAGCACCACATGAATATTTGTACTGGCCACATGTGGTGGACAGAACTAATACAAGCTGACAGTAACTATAATGGGTTGTCTGAGCTGAAGATTTGCTTTTATTGAATTTATTTCAGTTATTTCAAACTAGTCGTAATAATTCAATTATTCTCTGTTAAATTGTTATTTAAAAAAAAACACACTTTCTGTCTTGGGGTGGGCTCTTTAACCTGAAATATATGCATTTATGTGTAAATAAGTAACCTCAGTTACATAACAAAAAACTTCAGAAATCAACATCCCTTAGTGTACCTTTGTCATATTGGGCCCACGCACGATGTCACAACAAAAAAAGAGGAAAGAGTTTTTGGTTTCCTCACAACATACTTGTGGATGTGTCTAAGTGAAATGTACCGTAGGAATCAAAAGGTTTGAGTAATAACTCATTTAAAACTTGTTAGACTCTTGCTTTCTCTGCTAAATTGGAGACCAAAAATAATGCACTAAAATCCTCAACAATTAATCTCAGTGTGCTGTGTGAGGAGCTCTGAGTAAAGTCTCTTAAACTACTGAGTGAAAGAATATTTGATTTAAAAGCTAGGGTTGTTTGGTCAAGCAGTAAATTCCGGACGAACAATATGTCCATAACACTATGAAATTCAAAGCATTGGAGTTTTTTTATGTTTGGAGAAAGAAAGATGACATGAACTGACATTCCCAGCAGCCTGGTCACCATGGTGCCAAACCGATCAAACAGGTAGCCATTGGCGAGATTCATGAAGTTGTTGAGGAACGAGGCGATGGTGAAGACCAGAGAGAACTTCTCGTCCTGCCGACTACAGTCTGCGAGAGAGAGAAACAAAGGAAAACAGAAGAAAAGAAGCAGTGACTTCTTGCAGCTTGGGGAAAATATTTGAGCAAATTAGACCCAAACCGATGAGAACATCACCACAGTAGTTGTGTCGTGTGTTCACTCATCCATCCGTACTGTGCAGTGGCATGCAAAGTCAGTTTCCCCATCCAGTAGAAAACTTCAGGCCATGCTCTGTATGCTTCTTTACATGAGCAGGAGACTAGTTCATATGTAGAGTGCAATTTTCTGAGAAGAGATACAGCACTACTGCTGAAGTATTGTTAGATTTAGTTAATCTATGTGTATTAATCCGTCATCACCATCCATCAATAGTGTCTTTGTATAATTTGTAATAGAAATCTTTGACCTGGTTAGAGTTAGGCCATTGGCCACATTATCTATTAGTTAATGGTTTGTGAACTTGGCTCAGTTGACTCATTAGTATTTCAAGTTTCCTTTGATCACGATTTTCTTTTAGACTGACTAGTTTCCTTGAGACCGGCCTTCCCCAGATACTGAAGGGCTTGTCAGAAATAAACTCACTGGATCGACATCGGAGCTGTCTGTGTCTCTTCGTTGGAGTCAACCTGTCAACCGTCAGCTGTTAGTCACTTTCAATCATATAAAAGAGATTCAATGAGGGTGTTGTAGACTGTATATAGATGGTCAAGAAAGGAAAGAACCCTGTTACATTTGGTGATGGGGTTACATTTGCCATTTTTAAAATGGTATTCTGTAACACATGCTCTTTGGTATAAGATCATTTAAAGCTACATTATTCAAAATAAACAAGCCTCGTTTAGCTCATTGTTTTGAATTTTGCAGACAGAAAAAAGTGAGTAAATCGCTGGAGACGAGAGTCAACACCAGAACAAGGCTGAAAACAGAATGAATGTTGGAATTAGATTCGTCAGGGGTCCAGAAAATGTTGCTGTTTCTGCGGAGTGTGAGCAACAGCAAGAAGAAAGGTTACAGTATTACAATGTCTTTTGGTATATTTCTACTTTTTTAGTTCAGTTTAAAGATTAATTCAACAACCACTAAATTCTTCATCTATCTACATAGCTGCCTACTTGCATTTGTATGTTATTGTATATAGTATTTCTAATTTATCTTATTTATTCTAGATTCTGTTTCTGTTCTTATTTTTTTTTTAATCATATTTGTCCCCTTGTGTTGCTATTCTTGTGTGCTGCTATGTCAATTTGAATTTCCTCAAAGGGGGATCGATAAAGGTACATCTTATCTTATCTTGTCTTATCTTATCTTATATATGTGCCTTTATTTTGTAAATATTAGGTATTATTTCTCTTATGATGTCTTCCCTAAATAATAAAAATAGTAGCAACTGCTTCCATCTAACTCAAACACTTACGTGAAATATTCTCCATTATATTCCGTGTTGGTGTTGAGCACCTAGTTAATGAAAAACAGACTGCTGTCCTTCTGCACTTTACCCTGCAGGGATGGTCACCCTATCTGAGACTTAAACACCTGAGTTGCTCACCTGTGGTAGTCAGCGTGCCGTTGGTACCTGGGACAGTGTCACACAGGTAACTGAAGTATCCATCCTCCTTCAGCACAAACACCAGAGAGGCATAACCAAACACAGCGCCGGCAAAGCACAGACACTCCAGCATCCCAGAGGCCAGAGTCAGCCGGTAGAGCATCCTGGTCCCAACCTCGTGTCCCTGCATGCTTCACTCTGTCTCTCTCCAAAAGGTCAAATGTTATCTCTCAATATGAGTTTCTCCCTCTGAGAAAGTTGTGGTCGCTCTTCCTCTCTTTTTCTTTTCTCTTCCTATTATTCCTTTCTAAGCAGATTCAGGTTCCAGGAGACTGCGGGTCTCTGTTGCTGGATTATTGTCCCTACAATACAGAACAAAAGCAGAACAGATGTGGGGGAAATAATAACTTTTTTATCTCTTGGTTACAGTTTAAACAGAACGATATGATAAGAAACTTTACTTTAAACTTTACATACACTAGTGGACAACTGGCTGAAAATGAAAACAGAGATTCATGAGATGGAAAGACTAACTTTTCTGCTAAGATTGAGAGATTATTTATATGTTGCAAAATGAAACAGATATATACCAGGACTAGATCTACAGCTGGTGGTGCTGTGCACCTGCACAGTTGCATCATAAAATGCCATTGCCTACCTTCAGCCGTTTCTGTTTTTGTTTTTATGTTTTATTTATTTATTTGTATTTTCCAAGTCCACTATGTCCCATATGACATATGTGATATGGACACTGACATGAACATGCTGGCAATACTGGTTTTACTGAATTGCATTCATGTTGCTGATCTGTACAATGTGCCTTTTGGGGGGAAAAAAGAAACTAAACAAAAATTTAAGTTACAAATAAAACAAAACAAAAAACTTTCCATACATTGAATTGCGCTGAACTCATATTGAAGTGACGCTCCAACATGAGGACAGTCGACATGAGGCAGCGCGGCAGTTATCGCCAGGCGGTGCTAGCTCTAATCCAGATTAGTTCCCTTAATCTACGTGCGATGACACATGGCACAACGTGGGCACAAAACTACCACAAATACTCCCTTAAAACGTGACGGTTACACGTTTTTAATAACATTTATCGCTAAACACAACATGCACAGACATTTTACATCATGTACCTCTTTGTACAGTAACTGAAACACAGCATGAGGAGACGTTGAATGAGCTCACCTCAGTCCCTTTACCAAACACGCTTCATTCCGCCAACACCTGCTCTCCCATCTACATGTGAAATGATGTTTACCTTGTCGTTTCTATGTAATCCAGACATTGTCGTCTCCTCGTGCAGGGCCTCTGCACCTTGCACCGCGCCGCAGTTTGTCTATGTGACATGCAGAGCTGTGCCTCACTCACTCCCTCTGTCCGTCTGTCAGAGGTCCAGATATAATCGCAACAGGTGGACACACGGCGGGAAAGGACAGTACACGGGTCATATAATGACACATGGGTCTCTTTTATACACGCAGTAATTCTCCTTAACAGTTTCATTGTGAATTAGAGGCTAATCTTGCGGATTTTCTATTATTTAGCCAACATCATTATATCAGCATCTTTAATTAAACCCTCCCTGAAACTGGAGCCAAAATATACAAGAACAATAAATAGAAACTCACTAATGAGATCCAGTGGCCTGCAGAAATACAGTAATGATTTCTGTTCTCATGCTTCAGTCTCAGTGTCTCTGTAATGATGATGGTGTTAGAAGCTGCAGTCATTATGGTGGGATTTTGTACACTACAGGTTAATATTTTTGAATGACTCAGTTACAGATTGTGTCTTAATCAAATAGTTAATCATTAATCGTATCATCATCTAAATACTTTTATGTCCCACACAGCTCTCATGGCCTCATCACTAAGCTTTGTCGGTCAAAGTGTTCATTAATGTAATTGCGTTTTTGGTGTTCGACTTGTATTTTAATTTAATGGGAAACCTAGATTTTAACGCTGAAGTCATAGCGCTTAAAAAACATCATATCTCTTATGTAAGTGTAACTTATTTCTCATTCTTGTTTTTATATCCATTATTGAATTGTGGTACATTTCCTGTAATTTAGTGTAAAATCAACTGAAGTGGTTACACACAGTGCAAAAGCACATCTAAAGATCAGTTGATCAGGATTTTTCCTCACAGAGACACTAGGAAAATCATCTAACTCTGAAGAGGAGCATTTTAGCCTCTAACTCGTTTTATTTTCCCTTGTTTAAAAATCACCCACATTATGTCCATATTCAACGAACACCCGCAAGCAGTTCTTTTTAATGAAAAAAACCACAGTACACAGCCTGCCAAGTACCAAAAGTTAGCATATGGAAAAACAGCCAATAGCACTTTTATTGTATTTTATTTTATTTAAATTGATAAAATTAATTTTTTTTTGCCCATCACTCTACACTTGATTATCCATAACGACAAGTGAAAGCATATTTTTTAGAAACTTTTGCAAATTTATTAAAAATCAAAAACTGAAATCTCTTATTTACAAAAAATATTCAGACCCTTTGCTGTGGCCCTCCAAAACGGGTCAGGTGCTTCCTGTTAGCTTTAATTATCCCTGACATGTGTCCAGGACTTGGCTGGAGTCCACCAGTGGCAAATTGAATTAATTGGACATAGGTTAGAAAGGCGCACTGCATGTCCGGATAATAACCACAGTTGTGTCTGAAGTCACTCACTCATTCACTACTTCGTGTTCACTGTCCAGGGAGTCCTATGTAGAGGACTATATAGTGAGCTCAACCGTTAAATGAAAAACCACTCTCAAACAATACTTGGGTCATACTCTCTGCGCTGTTTTTCTGTCTTTAAACAAGCGCTACCTTTTCTAAAGCTTTGAGGGTTCCCAGGAGCAGATTTGCCTTAATAATTGTGAAATGGAAGTTTAGAACCACCAGGACTCATCCTAGAGGTGGCCATCCAGCCAAACTGAGGAACCAGGCAAGAAGGCTTGGGTCAGGGAGGTGACCAAGAACCAACTGATCACTGTAACAGAGTTTCACAAGTCCTCTGCAGAGATGAGAGAAACTGCCGAAGGACGACCATCACAGCAGTGCTGCCATCTATCAGGCCTTTATGGTAGAGTGGCTAGACTGAAGATACTTTGAGTAAAAGGCACATGACAGCCCACTTCCAGTAGCATTTAAAGGAATCTGAGAGCATGAGGAAAACTAGAATTACCGCCTTGCTGTTTTATGCCTCCGCCAAAACACTTCTTGTGTTCTCAAAATATTGCGTTCACAAGGCCAAAATTGTGTTTTGACAGGTCACTGTGACTTCAACTTTGACCGCCCAAATCTAATCAGTTCATCCTTGAGTCCAATTAAACATTTGTGCCAAATTTGAAGAAATTCCCTCAAGGTGCTACGGAGATGTTGCGTTTAAAGGCCAAAATCGTGTTTTGTCAGGTCACTGTGACCTTGACCTTTGACAGCCAAAATCTAATCAGTTCATCCTTGAGTCCTAGTGAACATTTGTACCAAATTTGAGAAAGAAGTTCTGTCAAGGCGTTACTGAGATATTGTGTCCACGAGAATGGGATGGACGGATGGACAACCCAAAAACAATATACCTCCAGCTCTGGCTGTTGCCGGCGTAGAGGCATAAAAATTGTCTGGTTTGATGAGACAAAAATTGATCTCCAAACACTATATCTGGTGAACACCAGCCATAGCTCATCACCTGGCTCATACCATCCCTACTGTGAAGCATGGTGGTGGCAGAGTCATGCTATAGTGGGGCTTTTCAGCGACAGGGATGGGGGGACTGGTCTTCACCTCCGGTGCGTCTTCATGTGTGTATTGAGGTGGGCACTACGAGAAAACTTGCGGCCACAGATCTGGCATGTAAATGGCCTGACGCCCGAATGCAGCAGTTCATGGCGCCTCAGGTGACTCCGTCTGATAAAGCTCATCCCACACTGCTCACACACCTGAGTCCTCTCCCCTGTGTGCGTGAGCCTGTGACGTTTTATCATGCTCAGGAAAGGGAAATCCTTCCCACAGTAGTCACACATGTACTTGGATCGTCCAGTTGCTCGACTGGCCCTGAAAGCTGCAATATCATTGCTTCTACCTTCACTTTCAAACTGGTTTCCTTGGTAACTGGATGTGTCACCGTCTGTGGTGTGCTGCCCATATAAGGATAAATCATGGATGTCCAATGTTCTTGATGTGTGCTGGTTTCCTGATGGAAGCGAGCTGCTGTAACACATGAGCGCTGGGGTGTCAGGCAGAGTGCTGCCCAGAGGGAATGCCCCAGAGTCTGTGTACATCTGGATCTCAAAGCCCTGATCTATGTTCTCAACTGGGGTGTAGAAGCCTGGACTTTCTGCCTCTCTTTTAATATGAAAGTCCACATCAGTTTGACAGCCTCCAATCGGAGACGCACTGAACAGGTACTGCTTCTCCACAGATTGCTTGTAGTCCGTGTGTAGAGCTTCACCCACCTCTGGAGGGTCGGCTGCATCCTGATGCTGAGGGCACTCGGCGGGTGAGAGTACAGGAGAAACTAGTGAAAAGAAGAGTAGAAGCAAAGGTCCTCAATCATTATAAAAATCATATGACGTTACTTATTTCACAATGTTATTATATTGACCTTTCAGCTCCGATTGTTCTTCAGGAATTTCCTCATGTTTTATATTAGCTTGCTCACACTCCAAGTCTGCCAACCTTAAGGTTTCCTGTGACACACAAACAGCAAAGCAAAAGTTTGTGCCACAGCCCACAATGACCATACCAGAACTATATTTACGTTATAATAATAGGGTTGTTGATTAATAATGGGTCTCCCCATTATTATGTCAGAAGAGGAAAAGGTCTGATAGGTCTGAGCCTTTTTTAGTGCACAACTGGTGTCACAAGTGGAAGTGCTGATTAGCCTGAAAAAGTGATAATCAATCATATGCTTTCTTCTCATGATATCTAATCTATTCGGGACATGCCTCTCTTGTATCTCCGCTTGTAGATTAGACTAAATGGGTCTAAATAGTCTGAACAAACCTCACCTCCTCCTGCTCCTCTGCAAGTCCTTCTTCATTCCTCCATCGTGTGTTGCTCTGCATCTGCATCTGATCAGACTGCAGCCGTGGTCCGTCTCCATTGTTTCCTAAAGTTTGGCAAACGCTCAATAAATGAAACTCTGCAGACCACAGCAAATACTGAGATGACACTGTCATAGCAAAATCCAACCAAAGAACAACCAATCAAGTGCAAACCTCCCTGATTGGAAGAAATCTTCTGTCATCTAATGTTCAGTCCTGAGATCGGCAGGAGAGTTTGTCACCATACGTTGCGATAGCTTCAGTAGTTCTCTGTGGTTATTGTCAGGTTAAATCTGCTTCCCAAAGACAGGCAGCACTGTAAACATCCCTTTAAACATTTCTTTTACTTAATTACATTTACAAACGTGTGTTTCTGGCCCAGTGCGGCTTCTCATCAGGCACAGCCGTACCTATTTGATACCTCTTTATCTGATGACGAGCCAATTTGGGCTTGAAACGTTGTACTTTTTCTAAATAACATCAAATAATCAGAGTATGGTGCGTATAAGGGGGGTGTTCATCTGCTTTGGGACTGTTTGAGACTCAAATTTTTTAGCTGTGACCATGCACACACCTAACACCAATCACACCTGAAGTACTTGGATTTTCAACACAACTGACTCAAACACAAATGATGTGCACCTCCATATTCCCGCTCAGAGTTGTTGAGGAAGCCTGTGTCCCAATCTAGTTTCAAGACCTTTTAGTTCATATAGTGGTTGTTTGTTGTAAAGTGTTTTATCAAACTGCTTCTGCTTTTTCCTGTGTCACAAGTAATTAACACACAGGAAGGTAGTATTACTCCATCATAGAATTACTGTATGGCCAGACTTATTTTCATTATCAATATGTCTGACAATTATTTTTCTTTAATAATGGATTGATTGCGTAGTCCATTGGTTCTCAAACTTTTTCACATTAAGGACAAGCACCCTAAACTGACACAAATTAGACAACAGACCCCCCATCTGATAAGATTTTTGATAGTAGATGTTTTATTATAGAAAGTGTTTGAAACCCATGACCAAAATAGTCACACATTCTGTCCTTGTGTTACTTATGGGTGAAGTTATAGTGAAAATAAATGTTTTTCCGCTTTTTGCTGGGAACCCCCGGTTATCCCCTAAAGCACCCCGGACCCCCCTTTGAGACCGCTGGTTTAGTCTATAAAAAGTCCCAAAATAGTGGAGAATGCCCATCGTTGTTTCCTGAGATCCCATTCACATATTCATATTGCTTTTGTTGTCTGACCAGTAGTCAAACCCCAAAGATGCTGAGTATTTTTGCATAAAAAAGAAACAAACAATTAATGAGTAACAAGAACAAATTAATTCTCTAAATTGACAAATAGATTAATTAACTTATCATTTATTTAATCTCAACCAGGTAAAATCCCACTGAGGTTAGTAACCTCTTTTTACCTCGTGAGACTCGGTCAAGACGCCAGCATTATTACTGCTCTGGGGAAATAATAAAGCTGCTTTGAACAGTGAGGGGTCAGTAGGGGCCTGGGTCTGTAGTAACAGAGACACTGACTTCAGTCCGAGCTTGGTCACTGCACCGAGGGGCCGGTGGTGGATACACAGCCTCTCTGCAGAGCTTGCAGTCACTGGGGCTGTGTTGTGGGGGAACGTGCTGCCTATTATTTACAGGCCTGTGTCTGCATGCTTACACATCTTACCGTCAACACGGCGCTGCTGTTTCTCTCTGCTCAGCTGCACGCGGAGCACGGCACAGTAATCACACACGAGCTGGTTGATCTCTGTCACGGCGGAAACGACCAGTTTCTCCATGATAGAGGACAACTGAGTGTGAAACAAAGCCTTAATGTTTTCCTCCATTACCGTCACTGCTCGACCCCTTTTTGTTTACAGTCTACGGCTCGCCCAGTGTCCGGTGGAGTCGCACGAGTTCTTCTTGTTCTCTTCTTTGGTCTAGCAGTCTGAACCCAGCGGTGGCGTTTTGCTGCCCCCCTCAGTCCGGACAACACAGGGAGCTGCAATGACTTTTTTTTCCCTTTTTTTAAAACTTTTTTTATGACCACTTTAAGGCCACTGTATTTTGTCAGTGAAATTTGGCAACATTGCTCCAGCAGTCAGAGTGCAACATTAGGATTCATTGGAAGTCGTGTTTCTGGCCACCTAGGAGATTGAAGTTGATTATTAACTCTCTTTTATCTCTTTCTGGTTAACTCCTGAAGGAAATGTGTGGCTCTTAAGCTACTAAATGCTCCATTGTGTTCACCAACTATTTATATAAGTTATATAAGAGAATGTTAAAAATGAATAAAAAAAATTGATAAATAAACAAGGTTACTGTGTGGTGCTCATCACATTTTTTATTAAGGATGAAAAATAAGAAGTTAGAAGTCATGCACTTTTTCGCAGATCCACTGTTGAGCTTTGGAGCAATCATCATCATTCCAGGTGTTCTGCTGTCTGTACCATAAGGTGCTGACACAACCGTCCCTCACTCCTCCAAACCATCCCCTGGGTTCAACTCCTATCCAAAACCTGTCCAAACATGGTCAACCAAATGACCAACTGGAGTTATTGCAGAATAAAATGCACTGTTTATCCACAAACTGGCTCTAATGTAGCAATGAAGAGAGGTGAAAGGCTTACCCTGTGCTGTTCAGAACTGAACCATCCACCCATTTCCATGTTCCCTCTCTGTCTTTGTTACTCAGACCAATCCAGAATTTGCGGTTGAAGGAGTTGATGAATACCTGCAATATAACCCAAAGTCAACAAAACTGTGAGAATTGTTCTGACAGCATTAATGTGAATGTATTACAATAAAGGAGCAACAATAGGGAACAAAATCTTTAATTTGTTTTCTATTACCTGCTCTTCTTTGCTGTTTACAATAATTAGATCTGCCCCTCTGTCTTTGCAGTCCTGCCTGCTGTCCTCCCAGCTCTTTTGTCCAGATGAAATGAAGTAAAAACTGTTGTTGAATGACTTACACCCATCCTTACAGAAACGATCTGCAAGTTTGGACAATTCAAGAAGTGAAAGTGTCAAATGTCAATCACAAACACACAGAAACAGGCTCAGACACAGAAAGCAAACTGTACACTCACAGATTTCAACCAAAGTCTGTTTTCTGTTTTCATCCCCGCTCTTGATATGGGTCTGCAGTTTGATTCTGCCTGTGAGGGACAGTAAATTCACAGTCAGACACCTCTGATCCACCATCAGTGGTAATTTAACAGCACGGGAAATCTACAAACTACTGTGGACTTGGGGTGACTGAATTTATGTTTAACAGCACAAATCTCACTTTCTGTGTGAAAATAAAATACATTTTCTTACAGTGAACTTCTACGCCCATAATGCCAGCCAGGAGGAGAATACACAGCAGACCCAGGCACAAAGTCGCAGCCCTGTAAAAAGTCCTGCCTGGGACAAACAATAACAAATAAGTTGTTTTCAACCATCAACCATCAGAGGTAGCATTAAAAAGACTGCTTTTGATAAGGAGTAGTCTATTGTACAATATTCATGTGTGTGTGTGTGTGTATTACTCACCTGGCTGCTGATACAGGGTACTCTGGGTCACAATTCTTTTGGTATTTAGACTGAGATTGTCTATGCTTTCATAGATGTTCACCGTCCTCTCCTCCGCCTCATCAAGCTCTCCAGTTGTATTTAAGGCTCTTTCTTCCATCTGCATTTGTTCACCAGGATCATTGTCTTAAATGTACTGAGACATCTCTCTTTCAGTCTGCCTGGTATCAGATATATTACATATATATATACCAAACTCTGAATAGTTGTGTTCTGTTGTTCTTTACAGCATCACACTTCCCTGTATGCTCTGGCGCAGTCCCTTCTCACTTCTGTTACACTTTCCTCTTTACCCACCTGACTGTAGCTGACAGATGCACCCAGGAGATGAGGTGTTGCATCAGCTTCTGTGCAGTAACAGTGTGACGTGGTGATTGTAATAATTTCATCCATTTCTCTTAGACATCACTGACATTTCCTGAGTAAATGATAATGCAGATAACAAAGTGAAAATGAAAATCAAAAAAAGATAAGGAGTTGCCTTTGCATTTACATAGTCAAGTGTGACAATATGATGATGGTGTTGCATATGGTGTTTTTGCACACTGCACTTAGATATACCTAAAATAACCACCATGTTTACTGTATATTACATAGATAGGTTTGATGGGAAGATGGATGTAGGCCAGCAGAGATGAAATAACTCATAGCAAAATGATCAGGGCCTCATGTTCTGCTTTTGAATATGGTTCACAAAGACACACAGACACAGTGACAGGTGGTGAGTATGTCTGCTGGCAGCATCAGCAGAAGCCTTCATCTCATTAGTTACAGTATAGTGCCACTTACTGGCCGTTTGTGGGACTGGGAAATTATAAAATCCAGTCATCTAAGGCAACATAATGTCCTTTTTGTTATTGGCTTTGTCTGCTTTGGTTGTCAGTGGCTCAGTTGAACTATTCTGTTCTATCTCTTACTTAAGTAAAAACAGGAACACCACAGTGTTAAAATACTCAAAGCAAAACTCCACATGATTTTTTGTAGTGTACATAAAATCACAGATTCTTGTGGGCATGTTGTGTTGATACTAATCTTCTATCCAACAATACATACATATATATATATATATATATATATATATATATATACATTAACCACATTTTTAATATTTGTATACTCTCACTTAAGTACAAAGTTGAATGCAGGACTCCCACTTGTAATGTGGTATTTTTATAGTATGCGGTTGTTCTCTTCAGTAAATGATGTGAATATTTCTTTCACCACTAGTGACTTTCCCCAGATTATAGTAAACTGCTTTATGTGGCTATTATTCTGCTCTTTAATAGCACTTCCATTTTATGACCACATGAGGGCAATGTCAGAACTTCACAAATAATAAGCATCTTTAAAGTTAGAGGACATTTATACAATTTATATGTATATTTATATAATAATAATGTAAGGTTTCGTAGCCGTTTGATGGCCAGACGCTGAGGGAAAAAATGATACTACAGAATTCAAATGAGCATGTATCATGATACGTCCATGTGCTGAATGATTAATAGCATAAAACGTGAAATGAAAATGAAAACTTGTCCAAAGAATTTACCTGTTTTTTCTTTGTAGTTGAGGAAGGTAAAGTAAATTAACAAATCATTTTTTCAATTACTAAACAAGAATTTAATCATATTAATAATGATCAAAATCTTCAGTATGATATTATTGCACTGTTTTTTTTTTTTTTTAATTGCAGTTTTAATTGATGTAGTCTATAAACAATAACTATCGGACAGATAAGCTTATGAAGACGTATAATGCCTGTAAACCAACCCCGCGCTCTCTATTCTCCCCTCTATTCTCCTCTCTATTCTCCTCTCTATTCTCCCCTCTATTCTCCCCTCTATTCTCCTCTCTATTCTCCTCTACTCTCCTCTCCTCTCCTCTCCTCGCTCGCCCCCACCCACCCTTTCCCCCCAGCGGAGAGGAAGAGCAGAGACAAGTGATCAACAAGCCAAGGCACGGAAGATAGGGAATTGCATAGGTGGGTGTATTCTCCGTCTTCATTGTGAGTGCTCTCGCCCCGTGGTGGACAGTTTATTTAGTTTCATTTCACGCCGTTTGCTCGACCACGCCGAGCTGTTTTTGTTGTCTCATCCCAACTCACTTCTTCTCCGAGCCTGCGGGTCGAGGTTTCGGTTGTGTCAGCGCAGCGGCAGCAGCAGCAGCAGCAGCAGCAGCGGCGGCGGTCGGCTAGGCTAGGCCTGAATCCTCCTCGCAAACACTTATGGACTTTGAAAAACAAGCCTAACAGTCTCCAGAATCGGTAATGGCCTGTCTCTTGGTGTTTTGTGCTCGGTGCTGCTGGTTGAGAATTGTTGTAGGTGGGAAAAGGAGTGAGTTTTAATTTGGCGAACTTGATTGTTGTAGCGCAGCGTTAGCAGGCTAGCCACCATAGCACAAGCTAATTTAACTAGCATCGGTGTATTCCATTCGTTAGCTTGATGAATAACTTATCTAGAGTGGGACTTGGAAAAAGTTTAACAAAACTTAAACATGTAGTTAAACATGGTCTACATAACAAAGGTTAAAACGGTCAATTATCCAGTTAACGTGACACTACATAGCTAACATCAATTTATTACATGAGTGGTGTAGTTTGAGGGAGGCTGGGAGGTGTATAACGTTATAACATTTCACACTGCGTGTTTTCTGTTTGTGCCTTTAAACACTGAAGCAGAAAGATTTCACTAGAGCTTTCCGCCTGTTTTCTCCGACCTAGGAGGTATTCAGGACAGGTGAGAGTACACGGAAGTGACCGGCCAGCACGTCGCGTCACACACCGCAATTTAGGAGTCAAAGTCCAGTCTCGGTTTACTTATCAATTTCCTATTATGTGCTGTACTTGAATCGCCCACTCTCTGCGGACAGAGGTGCTGCTCGGTGCATTTTAGGTGACTGTCCTCTCAAGGTGTGTGATTTTTGGCATATTGCCTTTTGAATTCTGTTCATTTTTGCGTGTCTACTGTGAATAGACACTGTGTGGTGTTTCAGTCGCTGCCTTTTGATGTGGTCTGCCAGGTAGAGGAGGGAGACACGATTTGTGGTGGTGGTGGTGGAGCCGCGAGGGACAAAAGCAAGAACCTGTTGTGTGGGTCTGGATCTGTGGGGTGTGGTAAGGTGGCAGTCCTGTTTGTTGCTTCATTATTTCAGTCCCTTGTCAAGAGGCTTGCAACTCAGACACCCTCTCAGCTTACAATTGTTCAGTGTGAACCAGAGGGACTTGGCTGAATCTGTTTCAGTGGATCACTCCTGGATTAAGCTTGCTGGTTTCAGTTTGTAATCATGATCTTCTGTACTTTCAGTGTGTGACGTCAGAAAAACCTGAGATATGTTTGACAGCTTGTCTAAAGTAACTTTAAATTGTTGATTTGCAATGATATAGTCAGCTGATCGGTGAGTTACAGTACAGCATGGACATGCCTGGCATATTCCTCTAAATACCCTGCAGGCATGTCTGCTTTGACCTGCTGGGACAGAGATGGAAGAGATTGTGAGCAAGTTTGGACAAGCTATTTGCTCAGAAATACCCCCTCTGCAAGATGTTAAAAGGAGGGGCAAAAAAGTCAAAAGTTGGACATTTCTTTTGGTGTCTAGAATTTGTTCCTAGCCATTTTGTCTGTGGGGGCTGAAGTCTTGTTGCTCAGCCAGTTCTTTTAACCAGGGCTATCATTTGTGAGTCTCTGTAATGACGGGCTTTCAGAGCACACCACGGGTGTGTCCCTCTGACACACAGAAGCTGGGGTTTTCTTATATTTGCTCCTCCTCCCTGTCTGTGTCTCTCTCTCATTCTCTGTTCGTCTCTCTTTATCTCACCACCTCCAACGGTTACACCTGCAGTCATGTTTTTATTTGAACGGTGAGCACGTCAGCACACTGCCCATTCAGGGGAGGACATGTCACCTGTGTGATAATATACACAGAGTGAAATCAAAGTGCACAGACTTTTCTTAAGCCGTGGAGCTAAACTGCCGTACAGCACCCTTGCTCAGTGCTGGTGGTTAACTTCTTGGAAAGCTTGAGAGCCAGTTTGCATTTTTACTGCAGCAATTTAACCAACTTCCTTGTTAAGTGGCGGTCACACTGTTTGCAGTTCACCGGGAGTAAATCTTCACTGACTGAGTTTTTTGTTTGTTGGACCATTTTTCCATAATAGCGATTGACCAGGAATTTTCATTATTTATTGTTTATTATTTTTACATGAGTTTTGAAGTGAAGACCGCCGTGAAGTCTAGACATGGAGCTGACATATATCGACTAAATAAGATATGAAAATGTTTTACAGCTGGGTGACAATGCAATATTTTCATCTGTTGACTTTCAGTGGACTTGTGATAAAAACATAATGTGTTACTGTTATACAAAATTCAGTTGTCAGAGTTAACGATTATGAACAAATTGTTTGGTCTTTGTGGAAACTCACCTAGATATGGATGAGTCTCGTCCTGTGATCGGTTAGATTATCACCTAATCAGTAGCCACTATAATGAATCATTTGGCATCTGCTGTGTGACATAGATGCGTGTTCTTTGTGTCCTTTTGTAGAGGATATAGTCACTGAGGTCAAATTCATTACAAATAGGGTGCGATGGCCAAGCAAGTAGTGCAGTAAAGCTTTATCATGATATAACAACAGAAAATCCAGATGAAATCCATCCTCATATCAGTATTGTATCCAGGTATCTCCTTGCTCTAGTCAGTTGTGAGAGCACTTGAACTCACTGGTCCAGTTTTTCCCTCTTTTCTGCTCTCTCACTTACAGCTGCCTGGACGTTTCCTTCCTCACCAAGAATAGTAAGTTGGTGTCCTGTAGATTAGACAGCTGGCCTTGCAGAGGTCCCTGAGCAGTCTGTGTGGAGTGTGTGAGTGAATTTGAGTGTGGGTGGGCGTGTGTGCATGTGCGCTCTCTCTGCAGCTACCACACTGTGCCCACACTGCAGGCCACATGGGAGAGGGGTGATGGGAGCGGGGAGGGTAGTTTCATGATTTCAAGTCAGGATGGTAAAGGCAGTAGTCGTTGGACGTGGGCCAAGGCTAACACACGCACGCACACACACACACACATACACACACAGAGGCCAAATCTCTATGTGACCATTCAAATGAGGCTGAGTCAGCGGAGCATTTGGCCAAGCCACA